GGAGGAGGAGGAGGAGGAGGAGGAGGAGGAGGAGGAGAAGAAGAAAGTAGAAGACACTGTAAATATTCTTATGTATGCATGAATAGATCTTAGTATGAGAAAGTGGGGAGTGATTAAGCAACCCCCGCCCCCCCCCAAAAAAAAAGAAGAAAATTACTGATTTCAGATCTGCAACAAACGGAAACAAACTAATCAAAATTTAAAAATCAGATAAAACAGCACACTGTCCAACATTGTATCATTTATTTCTGAACTGAAGCATAAGAGTAGAAAAGAGTATTGATGAAAAGACCACTTCTATTTGTATCATCACGGAAATGTTGTTTCTGTCTGCCTGTCTTACTTTTCCTTTCCATAAAAATGACGGATTGTCAATGCGCTTCTCTTTACTCAAACAAATAAAAAATTGTTCCTATTAAAAGATTATGAGGACATATAATTAATCATCGTTACTCTGCAAAGTTATATATGAGGTAGGACTACCATTGCATATGACCTACGCATTAAATGCCCCTTACCAAAAGGGCCAAATCCAACTCATCAAATAATCCAAGTTGAAGAACTTCCCATTGGAATTCAAACCAGGGCCATCCACTCTCACCACAGCTTAGCATAACACCAACTGCCCTAATGGTCCCCTTTTATGGGGTTTAGTTTTAGTAAGGTTTTACAGCGCTCGCAACTGCATAAGGTCATATGAGCGCCAGGGGGTGGATGTCACCAGAGAAGTTCAAACGGGGAATCAGGCCTACTCAGCTCACCTCTCTTGCCTCAACAGCACAAAGTCTGCTTTGACAATCAAGGCACCCCGGTAATAGCAGTTCACAAGAGAGTGACAAACATACAAAAGAAGCAGAGGAAAAATGACGATAGCAAGGATGAGGAAAGAAAAAGCAGCTATTCCCCCTATGCTGTTGCAACACAGCAAGAGCATGACATTGATAAATCAGCCCATTTACAATTCTGCAGTGCATAAGAACATGTTAATAACCCCCCTTTGGGAATGGCCTAAAGACAAACTTCAGTCAGTAGTATTGCCCTGATTGGGGGAGGGGGGTTTGGGGTGAGATGTGGATATGAACATAAATAATAAACAGCATTTGTATTGTGCAAATGTACACTCAACAGCAAGCTCTATGTGCTTTACAACCTATATTACTAACCCAGCAATCCCCATAAATACCAGAACAATCTCGACTTTCTGGGAAGCATACAGTGCAAGCTGCTATTTTTCAGCTGCTAAAACACTAATGAGTTCTTTTGCAGTCTGCCGCCAAGTACCCGTTCACACCTGGGAGAAGTGAGGAAAATTTGTGTAAAGTGCCTTTCCCAACGACACAAATTTGGGCCTGAGCCTCCAACCCCTGAATCCACAACTTCACAACTATGAGTCCGGTAGATTAACCACAAGGTTACGCACGCCACATCAAGTGGGTACCGACAACAGGCTAAAAAGGAATGTTTTTTCTCCCTCAAACAGTCAGGAACATCTCGAGCACATTATGAAACACGAGAAAACAAGAGAAAGTCAAATGCCAGTCCATCTGTTCCCCATCTTTTCTTGTTGGGCTTTGGGGTGGGTTTATGTTTGGGGGGCTGGGGCGAGAGAGAATTTTGCTTGGTTGCAAAAAAGTCCCAAATCCCACCTGACACAAAATGCTGTATGGAATACATAAACCAAAGTAAAGTGCATATATATCACTGCCAACTCTATACATTTCAACATGTGTATTATACTACATATATGTATATACGAAATTCACCACCTCAAAAGTAGAAAACAAGTTTTAAAGCTCAGCAGTATAGTAGAAGCTACATAAACATTGACCTGTGCATACAGAGAGGCAAAGATATGGTGGCACTTTCTGGTCAACAGGAATCTAAAGAATATAAATGAAAATGAGATTTCACCATCCCCAGGAATGATCCAAACACAAACATACAATGCAGATCATCATAACAACATCGAAACGTGTCTCAAAATTATGACGGTTTTGTTTTAGTAATTGTTTTACGGCACTTGCAACATAATAAGGTCATAAAGTGCCGAAGATTTAGAGGTGTCAAAAGAGAGGGACAAACACAAAAAAAAAGAAAGATGTTTCAAAGAAAAGAAGAAGCAAACCATGCTATGATGATTGAAAGGCTTATTTATAGCCAGCTTGCCAATGAATAAGAACATTTTCCCATTACATTATAGACAGTATACTTCTTTTAAAAGTCAGTATTTCTGACTGAGATCATTTTTCCCTTTTTTCCTGATACTGATATACACATATATAATATGACAATGTACATTCTTGTGGTCTTCGATGTCATTCATTATTTTTTTCTGACAATAGGAAATAACAGTTGAAGAGAGAAGAGAGGTTACTGGGGCCATTTGAAAGGGGGGGGGAGGGGCTCAAAAATCTCACCGCCTTAAAAATTGCTCTTTTATTAAGATATGACGTCTTGCTCATCTCACTGCACTAAAAAGAAAAAAACAACAACAATGTCTCATTTTAAGAGAAACCAAGTCAGTATGTACAGAGAAAGAAACAATAACAGCTGTGGCAGCATACAAGCTTGTGCCACAAAACAGCCTTTGTCAAACAGAGGCAAAACTAAAACACATTTCCATTTCGTGAGTAGAAACAAGTAGTAAAAAAATACAACACATTGTGACAGAAACAGAGCAATTATGGTTCTCATGGTCAAATAACATAGTACCCTGCTGCTATATAAAAATGTAAGGCATCATGGTGAAATCAGTGCTCGTCAAAATAATGAAATCAAGGAAACGGGCATTTTTCTGACCATTGGGTTTTTTCTCCGAATTTTCTTTCTTTGGATCAACACCTTGTTTGTTCATTTAAAAATAGATTTGCGAGTGGATTTTTCAGAAAAACGATAAAAGGCACAAAAAGTATAAATTTGCAGTTTCCTAAAACTCTAAAGCTTTTGAATTTACCAAACTGTGGCAGCCATTTTCTTGCTAATTTTTCCTCTGACATGAGGAGACCACCACCTCCTTCATAGGCAAATATCTTGACTTCTATTCAAGATAGATGAGTACTTTTTCACTAAAAGAAAGAAAAATGGACACGCTATAAGATAAAACCAATAGCTCAATATGCCCCAATATAGACGAGTGCCCAGCTCCATCCCGCCGTGACACAAATGTTTGATGGAAACTTGGACGTTAATCAATGCTGGTGGGTGCCAACCTGCAGATGGGACCATACTTATTTTAAAAATGCATTTCATGATATAATGGACAGTTAGTTGTAATGAGAGTTTTACAGCACTTGCAACAAAAAAAGGTCAAATAAGTGCTGAAGATAGATGTGTCATATAAGAGTAACAAACAAAGAAAAGAAGGAGGAGAGATAAAGACCATAGACGATTGAAAGAAAAGGAGCAAACCACACCAGAGCACTCACCAATCACCTGCATATAATAGTTATTAAATCAACTGCAAAGAAAACACAGTATAAGAACTTTATGAGACAAAAGTGGCTAAGGACATCGAAACAAGAAAAAATTCATGGAACAAATACTGTCTGCCAAAAGAAAGAAAGAATGCTTAGGATCCTTAGAACCAAAATTTATAGGACATGCAGTCAGGGATTCTTTTCTTACTTTGGCTTTCATATATTATCATCGATGTCGCAAACAATGCACTTTTAGGTACTTCTTACACCAGAGACAAAAGGCAAGGTTTTGTAACCCTTGACCATAGCATTGAACTGCATTTTGGTGATATTGATGTTTGGAAGGGTGTAAAAATAAAAACATTCTCAAAAGTTGCATTTAAGTGGATAGCTTGCGACCGCGATGATATTTATGTGTGTGTATG